ACGAAGGTAGTGCCACTAGATAGCACACCTTGGCAGTCCATTCTGGTGGTCTTGAGGCCGGGCATGCCCCTCTCCACCAACAGCATAGATATGCCCTTCATGCCCGGGCCCCCAGTTCTGACAGCGACCGAGAAGTAGTCGGAGAATATGCCGTTTGTGATCCACTTTTTCTGGCCGTTAACAATGTAATGCTTCCCATCAGGGGTCAGCTTGGCAGTAGTCCTAATACTGGCCACATCACTCCCAGCATGGGGCTCCGTGATACACAAACATATGTTCTTTTCTCCTCGGACACATGGAGGAGCGACTCGAGCCTTCATCTCAGGGGTCCCGAAGTTCAAGACAGTAGGCAGGCCTATGTTGAGGCCGCCCATCATTCCCCACATGACGCCACCAGAGCCGCACCTACAAAGCTCATCGATGAAGATGAGCTCATGGAAGTAGTCGAAGCCTTGTGGCTTGGCAGCAACAACAGGATCAGCGTAGTCGTAACCCTTAGGGCCGACCAAACTGGGCAGGAGGCCAGCCCTGTAGCACTTTGCGTAGATCTCCATGGGAATGGCCTTCTCCTTCTCCCACTCGCTGACGTTGGGCATGACCTCGTCCTCTACAAACTTGCGGCATCTAGCCCGCCATTCAACGTGGGACTGTGTGTAGTAGGGGCTGCTGTGGCCTTTGCTGTACCAGCTAGGCTCCGCATACGGGACTGGAGATCCGAAGGTTTCCTTCGCAATAACGGGCATTGATTACGTATCAACTGCGCTACATTCCCATGCTCATTTCAGTGACACTCCTATGAGGCACATAATGGAGACGCCTCAGACAAGCGTCTCAATGTTACGGAAAGGGCGTGACCACAAGGCCACACTCTGTCGTACTTGTGGCGAACGTTCGTTTTCACCGGATAGATTCTACTGGGAGATTTGTGGCAGCAGAAAATACTCTCGAACTACTCACTACACCATGAAGACTCCACCCCAAAAAAGACGGATGAAAACCTATCTTGCGCGTCTACAAGCAGCGTTGTAGAGTTTCAAGTTCACATAAGCGAGCAAGTTGCCCCATCTCCCGGGCGTTCCGGTAGAGGCGCAATGTCCAGACCTAATCACTAAATTCACATCACTATCAGATCGTGCATCGCTCTTTACGCTTGCCATTCCTCAGACTTCGTCAGCTTCGAGGTGCTTAGTGAACTCGTTCTGGAACGCCATCCTGGGGTTCCAAAATAGATCCCGGGATAAAGTGCTACTAAACTGAACAACCCCTTCCTTCTCCAGCCAACATTTTCCACACTTAGTGACTTGATGGAGCTTGAGTTATGTCAATGTACAATGTATCGCTAGTTCCCTTGCCTTGGATACCCCCATCAAAGGTTTGTGGATTTCATGCTGGGAATATAATCTTTTCACATGAGGGAACCCCGCGCGCCACTGCCAACGCGAAACGTGAGAGACCATGCATGATCAAACTCTTTATTAAACCCTAAGGAGATGCGCCTTCTCGATAAATTCGTCGCGGTTCTTCGAGACCTCGGCAAAGTGCCTCAACAACAGCTGCTTGATAACCTTGTCGGTAACTGTCGACAACCCTGATGCACGGGCTTCGGCTGACATTACGACGTCTTCAGGGAAACCTGATAGCGCGGAACTCCAAATTGGAGTCTCCAATACACAGAAGAAGAGGCCTCCCTCACCGGCCAGCCTCGCGACGTTCATGCCGTAGCTCTGCGTTGTAGGGCCTGGGCGAATAGAGTAGAGGAAAGTTATCTTGCCAGTACGCTCATCAACAGCTGCAGCTACATGGGCATTTGAGACTACACCATCAGGAAACGTGGACTGAAATAAAATCCCGAAATCTGCACCCCAAAACATAGACGTGACTCACGGCAAGTGTAGCCAGCTCATGGAAGTGCGTCGCGAAGAGCACAAAGGACTTAGACTCAGCGGCAATATACCTAATGGAACTCGTCGTGATTCACTTGAGGGCGCGATCGCGACTCACTTAGTGATATGCCAGGCTAACCCAAAGCCATCCTCAGTGCTTGTTCCTCGGCCAAGCTCGTCTATGATCACCAGACTGTATTCATCCGCGCTTTGAATCTGCGAGCACCATCCCCCTCCACTGTATCCGTGCCCTCAGGTTATACTATGGAAGCAGCATCAAGCATCTCTGCCATGAATGTAGACACACCGCGTATCTGATAGTCTGACGC